GCTGTGGGCTTTCAATCATACTGTATGTTGTTCTGTACAGTATGTTTTTATTAGGGTTGCTAAAATAATTCATTGAGGAATCATGGCCAGTGGTTATTTACAGATGTTAGACATGCATGTTTTAGTCTTTAGAACATTCATGTCAGGCCTGGGAATTTTCTGGTGCTATATCCATTGCTGGCAATGAATGCACCAGAACAGTCAGTGGCAAGAAAAGTCACCACCAGTGTTGTAACCCCAGGYTGTGAAAATATAACTGACCAGTTGGCTTTTTCCAGACTGGTGTAGGTGGGTGGTAACAAATCTGAGGCCACAAAGCAGTGCTGTGCAGATGAGATGGCAAGAGACAGGCTATCATAACCATACATCTTCATCAGCAAGTGGTGATATGCAGAACTGTGAGGCCTCCAAATGCACGATTGTCCCACCAGCATCACAATCAACAACATACTCTGACTAGGTGTTTGTGCAGTTAAGTACTTTCCTGCTCCTTTGAGGTACTGTTGCAGCTGCATAAACATCTGATAGAATGAAGTGGGTGAGAAGCAGACCTAGGATTTGGACCACAGCAGCCAACTCAGTAGTTGTACAAGCTGCTAATGCCAAGAGCAAATTCTAAATYGTGAGATGTCACTCAGATTTGTAATATCTGCTCTCTAACCCCTGCTTTGCACCAGAAAGGTACCCATCATCTGGAATTACTGCTTAGCACAAGCATGTTGCTGTTTCTGGATTTGCCAGATAAAACTAGAAACGAGATGTAGATTTTTTTTTTAAACAGTATTATTTATGACTTTAAATAGGTAGGTAGCATAATTAGGGATTGAAAATGCTTTCAGTTGATCTTTGTAGCCATGGTATTTCTTTACATTATGCCTGTAATGCTATGCTCTCTTTCTATCCATTTGGTGGATAGCTGCATTCATGATCTGACCRCGTTCCAGAGTCTAGCAATCAGCTGCTCTCTGCACACAACTGCAAGTTGTTCACCTAAAATTTTCGTTTTTGGAAACTGGTATAACATTAATGTGTAAGTTTCTGCTTCTGTTGTGCAGTGTAGTTTCAGTCATTAGGTGATCCCTAACTGGAGAATACACCCTTATTATACWTGTGACAAACAGCTGTTTCAGTAAAAATCCCCCTAAAAACAAGACTTCAAAATAATAGTGCTACAGTTCATCAGTCAATTTTTCAAGTTTTACAAAGCCAGACTAATATTAGAGGGGAAATTATATAGTAAGAACAACCAATTCTTGTTCACATTGTGCAACAGTCATGGGAGAGTATGCTTTTAGGGCCCCTCCGCATTGCTTTTACATTCRAAAATTGGTTCAGTAATGTGGTTTGAACACAAGTGCAGTTCCTGAGCTATTCCTGTATGTCATGCCTCTGCCTTAAATATCCGCAGAGGTTCTGCACTAGTTTTGATGCTACTCCATGAATCAATCAGTCATGGACCATTAACTTCTGTGAATGACCATAGCAGCCCAGCAAACACTGAAGAGGCTGGCATGAGCCTGAAGAAGATTTATTACATATTTCCAAGAATACTTGGTAACACTGACCAACTTAAGTTTTTTAAAACACAGTAAAACAAGTTCCTTGCCCCTCTGTGTCCTGCCTTGAGGTAAAGTAAGAGCTTGCTACAGGCTCTGCTGAAGTGCCTTTTTCATACTTTTTTTTTTTTTATCTGTATAATTCATTGCTAAGGGGATTGAGAAAAGGAGTGTAAAGGGGATTGGTATACCTCACTTAAAATATGCTTTGTTATTACCTTTATGGCATCGTCACTCTATGGGGATGAGTTACAGGGTGATGAATACACCACACTTCCCAGGTGCAGAAACAGCAGAGCTACAGCATGACTACTCCAGAACAGTCTACAAGTATGTCACAATATCATTGAAAGTAAGTAGCATGTACTGGAGGCTTACCCCTSCTAAAAGTCACTGCTAGAAATCAGCATTAAATAACAGAAGTGAAGGGCTAAAGWTTTGCACTGCACCAAACTAGTGCATGTAAAGCTAGAACGAGTTCTAGGAGGATTCAGATTTGGTCCTGAAAAGGCTGTGGTTTGCTGTTGGTAGCTGCTCATTTAAGTTATTAATGTGCTGGGAAACAACAGTTATATGGTAATACACTTTCCTTAGCCCACCAAAAAGATTCTTGATTCCTACTGCCCCATGACTCTCATGCTTGCAGGGTCTGCTATCTGTGCCAAGACGTTGCAAAAGTTGCACATTTACAAAAGTGAATGTGTATATTAACTTCACAGTTCTGATCTGCATTGTATGTACTGAACAGACAGCATAATGCAACACTGGCATGAAGATTTGTCATGGAATATGTTCAGACAGCCACTAATTTACTCATTCAAGTATGTGTTGGGGAAAAAATCACTCTAGAGTCACACAGATTATATGAACCACTCTTGATAATGAAACTGCACTGAGGTGTTAACTTATTTTAAACTTCAGTACTATTGACATGTTTCATCCCTCTTTGTAGTGTATTTGTGTTTCAGTAAGGAGTCATTTTGTTTTCCCCACGGTTAAACAACCACTTTGTTCTTATCTTTCCTTCCTGAATTATAGTTGGTCCTTTGTTCCAAGCACTTTATGCTATCTGTAATGGGATCTATTTTTGCACTGGAATATCTGTTAACTTTGCAAAAATCTAGAGAGATTTCACAACTGAAATTTCTAAGTTAAATCCTTAAATGGACATTTTCATTAAAAGCAAAAAAAAAGTATATATATTTGTATTTGCTAATATCTGTTATGTGAAGTATTAAAAGGCACTCTARTTGCCTTGTATTAAGTAAAAAATAAAGCTGTTTTGGCACAATTGGTCTTCACAAGTGTAATTTTTGCATTTTTATTTTGAGGAGTGCTTTTGTTTTGCCTGATTTTGGTTTTTTGTGAACTTTGATGCATAACATTCCAGTAGCTCTAAAAATTAGTACTGAGTAGATACAYTATTTTCAGGTAAATGAGGAGATACTTTCAAATATTGTAAGTGCTACTTTAAAGTTGGTAAATAAAAGGGATTGGTTAATTCCAAGTCAAATGCAACTGCAAAGCATAAACTTCTCTGGATGTTTAAATCCCAACTCAAGTACCCACCTCTGTAATAAAAATTCAGAGATGCAAGTTGCAACTGTTGCTGACTCTTCCTTTCTAAAAACACCCTATAGTTTGATGTTGAACAGCACTCTACAAATGAAAGCAGAAAACCAGTGCGATTGCTCAAGAAAAGCTGATATTAAAATGTCTGCTACTGCCTATGGTATCGCTATCAACCAAGTTCCAGTATCCAACCAATTCTTTAAGTTATATTCATTAGGAAAATTCATCCTGAATAAAAAAGCCAATTCAAATTTCACAGAGTTACAGAACAGGAAGGGATCCCTAAAGGATCATCCAGTCCAATTCCTGACCCTGCACAGCCAAGAGTTACACCACGTGCCTGAGAGCAGTGTCCAAATGCTTTTTTAACTCTGCCAGGCTTGGTGCTGAGACCACTTCTCTGGTGTGGTTCCAGTGCCCAACCACCCTCTGGGTGAAGAATGTTTTTCTAATACCCAGTCTAAACCTCCCCTGACACACTTCTCTGTGGTGACCAGAGTCTTGTCACTGTCRCCACAGGGAAGGGATCAGTGCCTGCCCCTCCTCTTCCCCTCATGACGAAATTGTAACTGCACTGAGCTCTCCATGGTCTCCTCCAGACTGAACTGACGAAGTGCCCTCAGCTGCTCCTCAGAGATTCCCCTAAAGGCCCTTCACCATCTTTGTTGACCCTTTCTATCAATGTCTTTTTTACATTGTGTCACCCAGAATTGCCACCCCAGAACTCGCTGGGACAATTCCCTCCCTTGCCTGGCTGGTGATGCTGTGCTTGATGCACCTTAGGATGTGGGTGGCCCTCCTGGCTTCCAGGGCATGCCTGACTCATGTTCAACTTGCCTTTAACATGGACTCCCTGGTCCCTTTATGTGCTGCTGCATTCGACCATCTCATTCCCCTGTCTGTCAGRGTTGCCCCATCCAGGTGCAGAATCTGGCATTCTCCCTTRTTGAACTTCATGTGGTTGGTGATTGCCCAGTCCTCTTAATTTYTTGGGTTTTCTGTTTTAATGTAGTATATAGCTGGCACCTCAGGATAAAGCACACCTCTAACATCTTCAGTGTTCTTTACTCTCARTGCTGGTAAGGAAAATAGTTTTAATTAAAAATGGAAAAACAACCAAAGCAATCCAGTAAAACAATTTTTGCATTCAAATTAAGAATGTCTTTTTAATTCTCTTTCCCCATTTTCCAGCCTAAGTTTTTGTTACTGAAAGAAGGTCTTCTTTTGAGACAACCCATTTTAAGGCAATGTTCTGAATGACATGATGGTTCATCAGCTGTTTGTACCTTTAAAAAGCTGATTTGTAAAATATAAGACACTGGTTTCTGAAGTCATGTTTGTTCCACCCTGAGAATGCTACACATGGCTTTGTTGGAGGGAGTAGGGTATGAAGACATCAGTATAGCAGCTGGAACCTGTTACATTCCCTTAACTACAGCAGCCAGATCCCATCCACCTACCTTGGACATAAGCTTAATTGGCTAGAGCTGGTTTTAGTGCTTTCTGTGAGATCTTATGCACTTTAAAGAAGCAATAATCATTGCAAACTGCACAGATAGTTCAGTACAGAAACCATTTGCTCATTGGAGGTCCATGATTTACATGTAGAAAAGCCTCCCAAGTGCTCTGCAATTTATAGTCAATACCTATAAATTGCAGAAGAGGGTGCTCTGTACCACTGTACASAAAATAGAAGTTTGACTTCTCAGCCCACGTGTCCTCTACCCTACTGCTATTCACTGTAGCTTACTTAAAGCAACTTCTTGTTGCCCAAAAGGATTTTTGAAAGACTTGCAAAATGAATTTTCTCCTTGGAGAATGTGATTTATCATTTCATATTTGAGTAAGAGCTTAGCCATAAAAAACCAAAAATGAATGCTTTATGCTCATTTATTTAGGTTTCAACAGTCTGACAAAAAGTGGTGACACAATCCGCTTTAGCACCCTAAACAAATATGAGAATACCCAAGGCAAAGCTTGTTAGGSTAACTCACAGTTTTGAGGCAGTGTTTAATAGAAAAAAGGAAAAGGCTGAAGTGACCCTTAACAAATTAAGTAAAACGTCTCGTGGCAGAGCTCATTAGGATATAGTATCTGATCAGCCCCATTGTAGCAATAAGCAACACTGATTTTTACATTGACGAGAATCAATATAAAACCTTCCAATGCTGAAGTCTGATTCAAACATAATTGGGTAAGATACATGTGGGAGTTTTCCTTTTTATAGTGTATGAAATAACTAAGATGTGATAATTTTAAGAGGCATCAAAGTATGTTATGAAAATGATAGCATCCCTGGATGGAATGCTGGACAAGAGCACTTAATTTACTGAGTTTGATAAGTGATCTAACTATGCAAAAAGTGTGAAGAACTTAGGGATTAAAATCGAAGACTGGTGAAGCACGGTTTGTGTCATGATATGGCCCAAGTTCTTCCTGGGGACGTAGAAACATCACCCTAAAGTTTTCTTTAGCAACTGGTATCAGAAAGCTGATTTACATTGCTTGTGCAGCATTTTGAATCCATTTTTTGTCAAGTGAAGAACAGCTCAGCTCATGAGGGTATGAGGATCTATGTCACTTGCTGACAGCACTTCCATCTTGTCTCTTCTGCCATCAGTTACATCCTTTAGATGAAGGTTACTTCAGTGGTGAGCATTGCAGAGGAATCAGAAGTGCATTTTGCTGGGACTCCAAGAATCTGACACTGTCACGCACTAAAATTAAATGCATGTTTAATTAAGACAGTATTTCAGCGTGTACTTCTCTCAGCATGCATGCAGGTAACATGAGTGACTTCTCTAGAACCATCATGTCTTACCTGCTGCTACGACTCTGGCATCTTCATGGGCACTGTGTCTTCCCGATGCCCGGTGATCTGCACTCTCATTCCACCACAACACATGGACTGAGAAAATACAAACAAACTCCGCTGAACACTGTTATGCTGCAACACAACCTGTACTGTAAGTTCAAGTAAYCTGCCTTCATCTGCAACATGCTTTGCAGTTAGCAGAAACAATTCTCCGGGCATGCCAGTGGTGGGACGATCTTTTACTGAGCTTTTACATGGTTTGACTTTAACATCAGATCTGAGAGTCTTTTAAGATTGTGGCAACTGGCTTAAGTCTATAACCCAATACACAAAGATGGGTTCAAGGACTGTTTACAGAACTTTGGTAATCCACACRAAAATTTTCAGCAAGCTGGCCAATCCTGATCCAGGATGGGGGCTTGCCCCTCTGCCTCTGCCCTTCCCATGCAAAGTCTGTATCAGAAATTGATGAGTACCTGTGTTAAGTAATCCATATTCTGTGTGGAAAACACCAATCAGCTTGGTATATCCTGTATTGATGTGAGCGTTGATTGCAGCTCGAAATGCTTCACCCCACAATGCTGGCCCACCAGGCTTCATCTGGAAAGTAACCCATTCATATACCCCTAGAAGAAAAGGCAAACACTAYCACAAGGAAGGAAATACAAATTAATACATCAGCTCTTGAACAGTGTGTCATGGCCAATGTATTTGCTGTGAAACCAGGATCACATTTCCCTGCTATCAGGGGACTGCAGGGAACTGCCTCTTCAACCCAATATGCACAAGAACTCACACTTTCCAGGAGCTCAGAAGAGCACAGGCTCACTAACTGCAGTTAGTTCAAGTGTAAATATAAGTACTAGAGCCCTGAAGAATGTAAGRCTTCACACAAAGACCAACTTAGAAACTTTGCATGGAAATTTTGGGAGATTCAGACTAATTTTCAGAAATCACAAATGCTCCTCCGTGTTTGAGGGATTTGGGTGACAGCTTGAGCAATGCTGGGTGGTCTTTTCTAAGACTGGTGATGTTTTCTGGCATTTAAGTGGTTTATGACATTACAAACGCCTTTGTCTTCTGGCAGTTGGTCACAGTGAGATCTGACAGCATAATCAAYACAGCAGGATTAGTTTACACCTCTGTTGTGCCAAGCAATCTCCCTCATTTGTAGAAAAATGGCATAACTGGCCAAGAAACTCCAGTCCTACTAGAAGTTATTTGTCTTCTTTCCGTTCAGGTTGTTACTTCAGATCACAATTGCTGACACAGTAATARAAAGCCAGACACTTGCTACTTGGCAGTGTCTGGTGTCATTCTCCAGCAATRGGCTGGGGGTAAACTACAGCATTGTTTGAAAGGTCATCTCTCCAGATTTTAGAGAAAACTGGATTGCTTTCAAATTCAACTGTAGCAGAATAAAATTCCAAATCCTGGGGAAATAAAAAACAAAGATTACTGTATCTACACATGTASTAAAGGCTGAAGCTGTTCTATGTCACTTCATGAAACAAGGTCTGCAAATGTTCATTAACTGAGAAACAGTCAATACTATTAATATCAAATTTGCTACAGAGACAATTAAAATACTTAGGGACATATTTATACACCTAACCTATGGTTGTTACAAAGAATGCTTGACTTTCACCTATCTATCCCTAAAAAGTAGGGAATCTTTTAAACTTTTATGTAAAAGAAGCAGTAACATCAAAGCAAATTGATAAGAATCTCTGTGAAAGAGAACAACCATTATCCAGGAGATGCCCTCTCACTGATGAACAGACAAAGGAAGTCCAGGATGACTCCAGGTGCTGCCATTTTGCATGTTCGTTTAGCAATTCACAATCCTGATTATTAACAACCTTAATGTCAGGACTCTAGTCAGTTATTGATGCATGTTAGTGTAAAATCCTTCTTAAAAACTCTCTCTCTCATCTGTGTTATGTCACCTTTTCCACATGGGTGCATGTACATGCATTTGTTACATAAAGGGTCATAAAACGCAATACCTGGTTTAAACTTTAAGCCATTTTTTGATAGTGTCAGTAACTTTAATTGGCCAAAGAGAWGATAAGCTCACCCCCTTCTTTTGGAGGCTTCCCAAGTTGACACCAGGGCACCAGATAAGCAACCTCATTGTGCTGCTTCTCTACCAGGGGGAGAGCCACAGAGATGAATTTTCCCTGCCAGTCTTTGTCATTGGCTAGTGCCTGCCGGACTGCTGTCCTGTGAGCAAAATTATCTGTAAGAAAGGAAAAAAAACTATGAAGAAATGCATTTAATGTTACATCAGACTCAATCAAAATACATAATTACAAGAAAGAAAACTGCACTTATCTAATTCTGAAACTGGTATTTTTAGACATTGTRTTAGCTCAAAGCAGATGTGGTAAATTGCCTTTAAGTTCTGCAAAAATTCCTTTAAAATCTGCTTTAGCTCTCAGATTAAAATGGACTCAGGCCAAAGGAAGTTTACAAAGGAGTTAAAATTAGTTTAGCAATTTTACTGTTAAAAAAGATGTACACATGGCAATCACAGAGACTACTGGCAAGTTACCAAGGATAAGATTTGGAGAAAGCAAAGTGGATATGGAAGTGAAGTGATAAAAAAAAAACAAAACAGGAGAAGTAACAGCTTACCAAGAAAAAAATTAATAAATGTGGCTTGTCACTTACATAAAGTGACATTTAAAGTGCAGAAGTAACACACAGTTTGTGTGTTAAGTTACATAAAAAGATGTTAAATGCCCAAAAGCTAAACATTTTCTTTTTTTTTCTTAATGAAAAACAAATCCACTTAATTAAGAGTGTTTGAATTTCAACTGCCTAGGCTGCAGTGGCATCTTAAGCAATGTATTTATGTAAACAGCTCCCAGTATTATAAAAGAAAAATCCAGCATCTGCGAATGGGAATAACTTCAAGAAATACCAGTATCTTGGGACTAAGAGATAAATACAGCAATTATTTAAGCGGGGCCTGATGAATCTAGGAGAAAGCATATTGTAAAGTTTGCTCATTTCTCCAATCATAGAGTGGTCTCAAGGTGGGGTGGAGGGTTAAACCAYCACAATTAGACATGCAAAACACTTTTACAAAAGAAAAATATAGGTTCTTCCTTAGTTTTGCATTTTACAAGTTTCCCCTAATTACTAGGTTTTTTATTTTGATAGTAACAATAGCCAAAACATTCTGAGAGGCAGGATAATTTATAAATGCAAGTGAACCCAAAATATTGATAGATGAATGGCTCTCTCTTGAAGGAAGACATGGCTGCCCAGGTCATGAAAAATGATGAGATTCTCMGTGTCTTTTTTGCCTTGGTCTGCACTGGAAAATGGTCCAGCCAGACCCACCAAGTCACAGAAGGCAAAGGCAGGGACTTAGAGRATAAAGAACCATCTACTGTAGGAAAAGTTCAGRTTTGAGATCATCTAAGGAATSTGAAGGTGCACAAGTCCATGGGACTCAATGAGCTATATTCCCAGGTCCTGGCAGAGGAAGCAGCTAAGCCATTTTTCATCATATTTGAGAAATTATGACAGCCCATTTTTAAAAAGGGACATAAGAAAGAACTGCAGAACTACAGCCTGGTCAGTTYCACCTCTGTGTCTGGCAAGATGAAGAAGCAGATCCTTCTGGAAATTATGTCAAGGCTCAGAGAAGATTGATGACAGCCAACACAGCTTCACAAAGGGAAAATTGTGCCTGACAAATTTGGTGGCCTTCTTTTGTGGGGTTAYAGCTTTGGTGGATGAGGGAAGAAKGACTGACATCAGAGGAGGCCACAAAGATMATCCAAGCACCCGACCACCTCTCCTCTGAAGACAGGCTGAGAGAGTCTGGGCTATTCAGCCWGGAGGAGAGAAGGCTTCAGGGAGATCTTACAGCAGCATTCCAGTACCTAAAGGGACCCTGTAAGAAAGCTGGAGWGGGACTTTTTACAAGGGTATGTAGTGAWAGGGCAAGGGGGAATRGCTTTAAGCTGACAAGAGACTTGGTTTAGAATCATAGGATGGTTTGGATTGGAAGGGACCTCTAAACAYCASCTAGTTTTAACCCKGGCCATGGGCAGGGACACCTTCCACTACACCAGGCTGGTCAGAGCTCCATCCAGCCTGGCCTTRAATACCTTCCAGGATGGAGCAAGATCTAGATTATATATAGTGAATAAATTCTTCACTGTGAGAATTTCTTCACTGGAGCAGATTGCTCAGAGAAGCTGTGGATGCCCAGTCACTGGAAGTGTTCGAGGCCAGGCTGGATGAGGCCTCAGCAACATGGCTGAGAGGAAACAAACCACTCTGTGAGTCTATGATTCCATAGATGATTACTCCAAAATAACAAGGGTGATCCTTTAATCTAAACAAGTACTGTAAATGTACTGGACTTCAATGAGCACACTGTCTCAACATGAAGATGTACCTGGAATGCAGCAGGAGTTCAAGGGGAATAAACCAGTGTGACTTCCTACTCCTCTGTAACCCAAGTATCAACTTCCCTCAGGGTCCACAAAAAGCACAGCCCATCCACCTAGTTTTTGGTTTAATAGTAGCTTTTCTTGGCTCACCTATACTTCCCATGTCAGCATCAACTCCAACAACAGAAAAAGTTGATTATACTGCAAAAAGCCTATTGCTAGCAAGGGTAAAGTTCCAAGAGAACATGGTGCTTGAGAAGTCAGACCTGGTGGAGTGGCTTCCTACCTCMATACAGGCCCACTGCATAACAAGTTTAAGCATGCAAACTGCATGCTCCCTTTTTTATGGGAGTGATTGTTATTCGGATCTCAAATTTGAGTACAATTATACATGCACATAAGCACATATAGACTGCATATCTGTGCATATTTCCTTTTTCCCATTCACTTYGAAACTTTCAAGGCATTTGTGGAATCTGGCCCTAAGTTAAAAATATTTACCATGAACAAAGCACTCAGCCACAGTTCCTCCATTATGCCTGTTTTGAGCAGAGGCTGCTGTTCAAGAACATTTGTAACTTTCTCATCCCAACACRACAAGCTCTGAAGTGTTCTTGTCACTAACCAGTAGAGGAGCAATGCTTAGAGGGCACCTCCTCACAGAAAGAGCAACAAATAAAAGCCAGGTAGGTAAGCATTCCCCTCACCTTCTTGCCTAGCAGACAGGGAACACACAGAGAGCAGAGCAGTGCAAAGGGATGCTGACCGTACCGTACTTCCAAATGTGAAACACCTTATTCATCGCTCCCAGCTCCGTGTGCCAGAATCCCACCAGCTCTGAGTGAGCTAAGCGGAAGTGAATGTACTTGTTGACCATTTCCACAAACTCCTTCATCCTCGCTGGCTTAATATCATATGTGCGGATTTCATAGAAAACGCCATTATTTTGTCTGGGCCCTGTTGCAAGGTGTACCTAAAAGAAAATAGTAAGACAAATTAGAAAAAATAATTCTCAAACCAGAAAGGTCTAGTCTGTCTAATTTTTTTTAAATTAATGCAATACTATAGAAGGATCTTTTACTGCAGGCTGGAAAAGGGGTACTTACTTCAGGATGTCCATTACAAAAGAAGTACCTTGTGACACTCTTCTTTGGAAACAGTTCCCMTGTGCATTATTTGCTGCCACTCCTTTTGGTAATGCAACAGACTGTGATGTGACTTTTGTTCAATACAAATGTTTAATTATTAGCTCATAACAAAGAAGGATTTTCCTTTTCTCAACTCCTTCCTCAGGAAGTCAGCAGCAAGATGTATTTGGCTGAATATATTATTCAAAGTCAAGGCTGTTGAGACACCACCAGAGAGGAAGCAACACCAATATTTGCCTGTGTTGCGCTTACCCAACCAACTCACACTGCTGGATCATGTTTACTACTTACAATCTTGTAGCAGTATTAGCAAATTACACATTATTGGCAAAAGAAAGACAAAGATACCAACACTTGGGAAAAGAGGGATTCAYTCCAACACAAGATGCTGAAGTTTGCATCCTAACCCTTTCTTGGCTGCTTCCCAAGGGCTGGTCAAGAACAGTTTTTCTATTCATATAAGATAAAACCCTTTGGGAGTCCCAGACTAAGCATACACTTGCAACAGCCTCAAAAACCTGAAACATGCTACTCACCTCTCAAGTAAAACATGAAAAATTAAGGCTAAAATACATCTTTGGCCTTAGTCCATATTTGCACAAAGGCATCTGCAGGATGGATTTTGGATGTCTCATTTCACAACCTGCAGGCATGTGCACCATGCAGCTCAAGCCACAGAAGATAATTGGTTAGGTTTGGAAATTACTTTTAAGATCATCCTATCCACCATCTACCCAGGTGTACTATGTCCAACAATTAAACCATATCCTCAAGTGMTGTATCTACCTCCTTTTCAAACACTTCCAGGGATGGTGACTCCACCACTTCCCTAGGCAGCCTAGCAGCCTATTCTACTGCTTTACAACCCTTCTGTGAATAATATTTTTCCTAATRTCTAATCTAAACATCTCCTGGTTTAGACAACTTGAGGCCACATCTTCTCATTTTGTCACTTGTTACCTTGTTACTTTTGTCACTTGTTACCTGGGAGAAGAGTCWGACCTCCCAACTGGCTGCACTTTCAGGTCGTTCAATACAGAAGGTCAAGACCAAAGGTTTGGTTGCTCAATGGCAGCACGACACACTTGATATTGGCTGCCATGAGTCACAGCTTCTTGGGGCGGCTATAAACCCCTGCAGGATCCCAACCCAGTGGTGAGTCTGCACTAGCGACCCATTCCACATCAGATTTCTGTGAGAAAAGAGAGGCCCTCATGCTTTCTGGTGYTTAAACAAATACAGAGACACTGCAGGACCACTTCTGTTGMAGAGAAGGGCAACGGATTAGGGRAAGGGTATGGAGKACAGGTYTTATGMAGAGGAGTTGAGSGARCTGGGAGTGTTTAGCCTGSAGAAAAAGAGGATCAGAGGTGACTTYGTCACTCTCTACAGCCCCCTGAAAGAAGGCTGTAGCCAGGTAGGGGTCGGCCTTTGCTCGCAGGCTGAGGACAGTGACAGGGTAAGAGGTCATAGTCTCAAACTACACCAGGAAAGATTCAGACATACGACATCAGGAAGAAATTCTGAAGAAGGGGTAACGAGACATTGGAATGGGCTGCACAGGGAGGCGGYGGAGTCACYGTCCCTCGAGCTGTTAAAGACGGACGTGACACTTTGGAGCCACGCTCTGGTTCACAAGATTCGGGTGCTCGGGCATGGGGAGGACCCGCTGATCTCAGCGGTCTTTCCCAAACGGATGGATCCCGCGATCCGGGGACGGATCCCACACAAACCCGGGCAGGGCCCTCAGCCCGCGCTGTCACAGTTGGTGACAGACGGCGCCGCCATGGCGCGGGGCCCCGCCCGGCCGCACCGCCCCCGACCCGCCCCCCGCCGCTACCTGAGGGCCGGCACGCTGCAGGGCCAGGCGGGCGGCKGCGGCGAGCGGGCGGCGGAGGAGCCCCGGCGGCAGCATGGCAGGCACGGCACGGCCCGGCCACAGACACCGCCCGGGAGCACACACCGACGGCGGGGCCTGGCATGGGGGCGGCGCGGCGGCCGAGCCTCCCTCCCGCGGGCGGGGCGGTCGCTGGGGCCGCCTCTGCAGACCGCCCCGCCGCCAGCCCAGCCAGGGCGGACGGGGAACGGGGGAGGTGTGGCTGGCGTGGTTTTAAGGTCAGCGGGAGATGAAGCGCGACGCAGCCGCTCGCTCAGCTTCCCCTCCTGTCTGCCCTCCTTATCCCCTCACCTCGGAGGTATGGGGAGGAGAATCAAATTAAAACTTGTATATTGAGAAAATAACAGTTTACACACTGTTATTTAATTGAAAATAAGGTAAAATACAATAATAACAGCAACAACACCGAGCCATGCACAATGCAATTGCTGACCACCCACTGACTGAGCCACACCTCCCCTTCCTGAAATCAGATCATCCGACCTTCCGGATCATACACCGGGCATGACGTTCTGTGGTGTGGAACATCCCTTTGGTCAGTTCGTGTCACCTGTCCCGGCTCTGCTCCCTCCCAGTTTCGTTTGTGGACCGCCTCCCTGGCAGAACATGAGACAAGGGAAAATAAGTCTAAGTTAGGATAAACAAGACTTGGCAGAGTACTGAAACATCAGTGTGTTATCGGCACCATTCTTATTCCTAATCCAAAACAGGATTGTTGACTACTGAGAAGAAATTAACTCTATCATAGCTGTAACCAGGGGCAACAGCTGAGAATCTCTCGATTAAATCACCAGGCATCAGCGCATGAAATGTATCTGTGTCTCTGCCCATGCACCTGAATACAATAAAAAGTATCCTAACTGCTTGAGGAGTCCTGGGACCTTGTTCCTCACAGGCCGCCCTGAGCCAAATCAGTCAGTAAATAAATCACCCACACCCCAAGACCAAATTGATCAAAATGATCACACGGATCCTTCTCTGCAGAATCAAATTTCAAACTGTGCAGATACAAATCCTTCAGCTGCAGTTCTCCTCCATAAGAAAGTCTTCTTATGGTGTTCCTCTGTGGCATTCTTTTGAGTCAAGCCAGAGGTGCCAACCTTGCACAGCATCAAGAGCTCTCACCCCATTATAGCTCTGGATTCAGCTACATGCATCTTTTAAGCACAGTTACCAAAGGGTGGGATTTTGTGATGGCTGACATTGTATCTTTTCTATTGTCTAAGATGAATATAAAGATAAAATTTCCTCTGGTATCAGTGCAATCTAGAGTTTTACTTGTGATGAGCTGTTTACCTGTGAAATGAGCGACTAGCAAAGGATGCTTTATGGAAGACTAAATTAATGAGGCATCTTTTAGGATTCCTCTTAAGAGGGGCAGCACATTCTTTACACCAAAGAATTGATTTTGAGGGTCTCTGCATGGAATTAAATGTGGTAAGAGCAATTGTGAATTCATGCCTATGGAGCTGAGATGCTTTTTCTCACAATAAACAAATTTTCATTTTGTTAGGACAAATTCAGGATGAAACATTGTCCAAATTAAAATAATATAGAAAATAGTTGTTCTAAGAAACATATTAAAAGAGTCTTGTGGAAAGAATGAAGCATCTACATTGTGTATATATGTTATTTTGCAAGTTACAGGATTTTTGCAATACGGCAGGAAATAAGTTTCAAGAGTTTCTACAGCAGATTCACATTGTCACAGAATGACATGAAGTGCGATTACTGATGCAGTTGCTGCTATTTTGAAATTGGGTGAACATGGAGATTTTTTTCACTTATGAACAAATTTTGTTTCTGCTGAAAGGAAGGAATGAGATGGTAAATTCCAAAATATTTAAACTTCTTGATTCTTTAATTGTATGGTCTTCATAACCATGTTGTAGTGGAATATTCCTTTACATTTTTAAAAGATTTTATTGTTATTGTTTGAACTTTTTCTGTGTTTGCTTTCTTGTGAATAAAGTCCACACATGCCAGGATTTGAAGTGAGTAGTCATAAAAAAGTTTTGTTCTTGCTAACCTGAATAATCAAAAGCTTTGATTTTATACTTATTTTTGTGTAGTCAGGGAATACAACATGATTTTCATAATTGAGCATAACTGTTCAAAACAATGCAGAGTTAAAATGTACAAAACTATACTAGAATTCAGTGTAGGCCTGAAATGATTCCCTGAAATAAGTCAGCAAATGATCTTACATAGCAAGTAAATTTAAGAAAACTGCAGTTAAGGAAGTGACTAAAATAAAATTTGTTGAGAAGACTGTTCTTTCAGCTGTGCAGTCTTGCCTGGAATTTGGTTTCACTATACTTCCTGATATTTTCTCATTCATACTCTTCTAGAAGTCCAGGGTTATCTCTGTCCTTCTAAGTGGATGTGGCAGAGACAGTGGCAGAGAGGATTGCACCTCCAACTCCTGACTGCCACTCAGAAGTCTGTCTACCCACACACATCATGCTGAATGGGAGCTGTGCTTCACAGGCTGCTCACAGATGGTACTGAACATCTGGAAATGACAGCACTGATCTTGTGAAAGAACTCATTCTGAATAGTATCCGGTTTTTGATGGGAAGTTTTTAGTTTGGTATTGAATTGATGAATCACGTGCAGTATTCAATTTATGTTACTGTGACTGGCAGAACCACCCAAGTACAAGATGTTTATTAAAAATTATTCTTACTAGTGGAAGCCGAAGCTCCATGGAGGCAAAATGTAAAAAGGTGATTTGTGCGCATTGCACTCCCTGCATCCATCATGTACTCCATTTTCATCCATCATCATTCTCATTCTCCCATGGAATAGTGAACACTTTTAATCTCAACTATATATGTCTTGTGAATGTGGGCAAGGACTGGGTAGTGGTTTTTTATATGCTTTATACTCCATGTGAGATGGTGGTAATGGAAGAAAGGTAAGCATTTGTAGCCAAACATTTATTGCTTTCAAAAGCAGCTTAAATTTCTTTTGTGATGTTTGCTTAAATGCAAAGAAAGTAACTCAGAGTTTTGGAAAAGGAGAAAGCACAGTACCTGTTACTTAGCTAGGGGGATGTTCCCATTTGCAAATCACAGCTTCCAGTTTCCTGTTGTATGAATAATAAATCAAGGATATTTCCTTCTATTTCTCCATAAATCTCAGAGTTTAATCTTTCTCAGAAGGGCAGTTTTCAAAAGTGTAGAAGGGTGTAACTCACCACATTTTCTTTCAGTGGCAGTAGGGTTTCCATGGCATAGTGCTGTGCTGTTTATAGGCTTGAGAAAGGTGTGCAACAAGCTTGTTTAGTGTGTTAGACATGGGCTTTCCACTATTAGGTTTTCACAAATCTCTCATACTGAGTGCTTCCCTTCCTCTCTTTCAATCTGCTGCTGTGTGAGCAAGGAACAAGTGGTTTCCTGCTACGCACACAAGGCAACATTCCTGAATGTAATGCAGCCTCTTGGTATGTTCCCAGTAGGCCAGAACATGTAAATATCCTCTGGTTTCCTTTCTCTCAACTGTTCCATATGAAAATCTGGATAACAACTTAGCAAACTTGGTATTTTCTTCCCTGTTTTTCCTAGCCAGTATGCATTCCTCACCTCATTCAAACAATCTGTATTGTGTATAAATATTTATTGTGTAGAACTCATTAGAATGCCTACAAGAACCAATGTCATCTTTGTGTTTAACAGTGGTAAGAGTCACATTAGTATCCTTAGTACCTAGGCCCATGGTTGAACCAGAGCCATGTGCAGGTGCCCTACCAGGCAGTGAATGAGCACAGAGAAAATTGATTCCATGTTTTTGCTTTGCTGGAGAAGCCAGTGGGAGAACAACACAACACTTTATCTTCCTGAGAAGTAGATCTGTGTTCTTCCCTCTGGATTTATCCATTCCACACCCAAATATGTGTTGAGGTTTGACGCATCCCCTGACCACACCAGCATGGAGCCCATTATCTTGGCCTGTCTGAGAGACTGTTGTCTTCCAGAGCTGCACAGTAGGAAGTGAAAGAGCAGAGCAGGCACTTACAGCTATGTGGAAAGGAATTAGAGAACTGCTCCATACTGCTTGGGTTTTTTTTTAACACTTAAGTCTAATGTTTGTCACCATCACACTTTGTGTTAATGCTTACACCAAATCTTGGAGGAGATAAATTCTACTGTATCAAAATGCTCTCTGCTCATCTTTCAAGTAGCTGTAGCAAAACCTGGTAGCAGGCCACTATATCCATTTGAATTAAGTTCAAAAGAAAACAGACATTTATGCTCCCTGTTCTTTTTTTAGAAAGGCTGTTTCTTACATCAATGGGTTTTTCCTTTCTTTTATTTTTCCTAGGAATTCTGTAAAAGTTTAATGACTCCAGAAGAAGGGACATGTTAAAGACAACACACACACTAGAATTCTCCAGTTGTTTTTGTACAAATGGTTATATTCAGAACTTCTGAATTATATACACTAAAAATTCTTTCCCGTCAACAGGCCAAAAATATTACAGTATTTAAGAAGTATTAATTGTTTATGCATATTACTTGACCACTCTAATTGCAGTTGTTCCTCTCAGAATATCTACTTGGACTTTGCAAATGATATTTTTAAAAGTTGTGAGTGAAGTATTCCTTTTAGTCAATCCATTTTTAGTAAATTGGGCAAAAACCGAATGCTCTGCATGCATGTCTCCACAGATGGGGTGACATAAGGTAGCTTCTGACACTGTAGATATTTAAAGCATGATGCAGCTGAGAACTGGGAGGTCCTTGCTACAAAGAGCACTGAAAGGACTCAATATGAGATGCAGGTTTACATGAGGAAGACCTAGTTGAGTTGACTTTTTATTTCACAGATTCTAACTAGCTCAATTAACATTTTCCCTAATAAAATCAAGGTCTGAAAGGATGTTGATAAATCACCCAGATCATCTCTCCTTAGTTAAAACTCCTGTCAGGCTTCTCTTATTTGGTCTCTTTTATGTGTATGATAAGCTGTCTTCTGGAAGTGGAGAGTGAGATTTTCTCTCGGATTTAGCCAAAGTTGCACTTGTATTCTTGTCTTGAATGAAGCACCAATTTACACACTAAGACAAGGTATCTCTATTTTTTTATT